TACTGACTATTAATCTATAACTAAATATGGTTGCTGCTCTTGCGTAAAATCTGCAAAGTGTTCCTCGGAATAATCTGGCAAGAAATGTCAAACGCTGAACAATTCTGGTTTTACTCAGCCAATGTTTCGGCAAACATTACAAATAATCGGATAAGCGCCTACACGCTCTAGCGGTTTATTGTCATTCAGGCTCCACTGCTAGGCAACTCGGAGTTCTATTATCTACAAACTCCCGTTGCGTCTTGCTACAGTGTAGCTTATTATGAATTCGTTAACCGACACTGTGGACGTATTTAATATCGTAAGTTCTCATTGATAATTTCGATGTTTGAAAGCCTGAAGAGAATTTGCCCTTTGAGGAGAATCTAATTCGAAATCCGTTCAATGTCAAAGCATGGCTTCGGTATATCCAGTTTCAGAAGACTAGTCCGCCTCAAGTTCTTTACCTTACCTACGAAAGAGCTCTGAAGCAACTTCCCGGAAGGTTTGTATTTTCGTAACAGTTAATATTTTTTCAGCTACAAACTTTGGTATAATTATCTCAAATTGCGTCGGCAACATGCGCGGCGACTTTGTCCTGGTTCTTTAGTGTACGAAGAAACGAACAATGCACACGAACGTGCCCTCGTTACTATGCATAAAGTACGTATACTGTTAATCCATAACTCCAATCTAAGATGCCCCGCATCTGGACTGACTTCCTTCTTTTTCTAATGCACCAAGGATACGTAACGCTGGCTCGAAGAACTTTCGATCGTGCTTTAAAAGCTCTTCCTGTAACACAGCATGAACGAGTCTGGCGGATCTATCTCAAATTTGCTGACAAGCATGGAAATCATATTAAAGAAACCTGCACCAGGATCTATCGTCGATATATTAAAGTAAGATCCTTTGATCTTTTTTTACATTTGTAGTACGCCCCAGATGATGTGGAACGATTTATCAATTTCCTAATCCGCAACGAGAACGTGAACGAGGCCGCAGTATTACTAGCGGAGGCTATAAACGATGAAAACTTCATCAGTAGAGAAGGACGATCGAAATTTCAACTGTGGCAGACCTTATGTGAATTGCTGGTTAAGAATCCCGCAAAAATAACTTCCCTTAACGCCGATGCCATCATTAGACAGGGAATTGGACGTTACACTGATCAGGTAAAATTCCCCATCGTGTTTATTTCTTTGCGCTACTCATAGGTCGGCATACTATGGACATCTCTTGCTGACTATTACATTCGCAGTGGTAATCTCCCACGCGCGTGTGATGTGTATACTGAAGCCATAAACACAGTCGTCACTGTCCGCGATTTCAGTCAAACATTTGACGCTTATGCGGAGTTTCAGGAGTCAATAGCAAAAGCACGCATGGAAGCGCTTGAGAAGTCTGGCGAGGTCTCCGAAAAAGGTCTGCAAGTATTTATTTTCACATATTTAAAAAGGCCAGTTATAGTTTATGCATATTTGACTGTTTCTCATATTCATCACGAATATTTATTTTAAGTTAGTACTTTTTCAAGTAACGTAATGTCGAGTTAATCACAGTTATGTAGGGCTGCAATAAAGCTATTACTGGTTCAAATGCTACCCCACACTTTTCGCTCACCGAATGTGAGGAATAATGGTTTTGTATCTTTTATAATTTTTACCTTTTATCGGATATTTATTCATCCTTCCCATTTTAAACCTCCATCTTCCGGATTTCGCAACCTTAATGTCTGCCGTGCGTTGATAATAAAATCAGTTAAGTACACTTTCAAACCAGTCGTAGACCACAGATAAATTAAGCTAAACTCACCTTGTTGTATAAACTGGAACACATGCATTCTAAGATTGATTTTTTCGACAGTTTTGAAATTTTAGTTGTTCA